CAGACAATTCAAGTTAAGATTTATTTCACTTTTCCAAAATGTTTGAGTGGTGATATCAAAAGAAAATGTATACACTAATTTAGTTTACAACTATAGGATGAACATTGATTATTTACATCATGAATAACCCCTTGAGATCTGGTGTCTCGTTTGTGAGGGGGTACTTAGAAAACCAACCAACAAAAAAAAAAGCTATAATAGAATTTGAAATAAGTAAATTAAGAAAAAAAACTAACTAGTGTCAGACAAAATAAATAAAATAAGACAAAACACATGTACATATAAATTCATGACAACTTCATGCTACATACACCATACCAAATAAGAAGATGCTATTCACATGCAGATGGATATTCATATGTGCAGAGTACAGGGCGACGGTGGCTGTATAGTAGCGTAATCGTCTTGCGATCGGATTGTTGTAGGTTTGATTCCAGCTTTCTCCATGTCGACTAAACCCCTGTGTATTGGTGTATAAATGTATGTGCAAATGGGTGAATGTGAATGGGTGAAGGTGACTAGTGTAAAGTGCTTTGAGTGGTCAAAATAACTGGAAAAGTGCTATATAAGTTCAGTCCATTTACCATGTCAGAAAAGAGAAGAAGGGCTAGAATAAATGAGTCTTTGCTCTCATTGAAAGCAGGAGCGAGATGTTTGAAAATATGTAAAGTTGAAAGTTAAAAATATGAAAAGAGGTCATACATGTAATTGAGGGAGGTAAATTACTCCAATCTGGTGGAGCTTTAAATTACATAATATCCAATTAAATTTCTTTTCTAACCCTTGGAATGAAAAAAAAACTGATCAGTATTCATCAGGCTACACAATTAATTAAATGGTATTAAGGTTTTTTTTTTGTTTGTTTGTTTTAGTATAGAGGAAAATTAAAATAGATATATTTAAAAGTAATTAACAACCGATTAAATTTTCTGTTACCCTGGTGTGCAGTTCATAGACTTGTACATAAGGTAGAGATGGGTCCATTTATTCTAAAATTAAACCTCAGCCTAAAAATAGCATCTTGCATGAATGGGATTTATTAATTTCTTTACATTTAGGTGTTGCAGGATGTTGCAAATATTAATTAAGTGTAAATATACTCTTTTACACTATGTTGGTATAAATTATTTGTATTTATCCAACAGGTCTGACCTGTTGGTAATCATTGACATGCAATTGGAATCAGGTTTGGATAAATACTCCTTTAGATACAGAAGAAGATCTAAGACAGGAATGACATACTGTAGCTGTATAACACTGATTGCCAAAAAAAATCTAATTTATTATAGAAATTGTCATATGATAGTATCTTCCCATGTATGTGTAAGAGAGCAAAACCTTTGTTTTATAAAAACAGATAAAAATACTAAGTTCTATTCAGGATATTTCTGTTGTTAAACATATGTAGAACAAGTGTCACGCCACTGGTAGGCAATGAGAAAAAAATGGGAAACAGAGGAGAGGAAACATGAAAACAATAATTTAATCCGTTCAAAACATGATCCCGAGAGAACTACACAGCCAGTCAGAGAGAAGCGTGGATCAATGCTGCCCGCTCCGGTCTGGTTTGGAGGCCAATCAAGCAGGCTCCTGACTGACTGGATGTCAGTATATAAGAGCCTCCTTGTGCGTTCAATTAGCAGCTCATCATCTGCTTCCTGAAAAGAACAAAAGAATAAACAAATCGTAGATTGGAGACATCTGCTGGACAGGAGGGGATCATCACACCAGGTATAAAGGCACAAAGTCACTATATGTGCAGTAGTGATCTGTAAAATAGAACATTTACTAGACTAATGTTTGAGTATTTTTACTTTAGTTTATTTGTTTCTTTGTTGTTGTTTTTTTGAAAACTTGTGGCTTTTCCTCTACTACATTTAAAGACAAATTCTGTCAACTCCACTGTATTTCTAGGAAGCCCGTCATTACTTGTTCTTTTTGGCTCAACATCGTTTTGTAGGCCGTTGTTACTGATTCTCTTCAGGAGACGGGGTACCAAATTGTCCACTATTGTATTTGTGCCAATGCAAACAAAACTACTTGGGCTAACTGTATATGTTTGTCCACAAACATTTCGATGGTAGGTATTAAACCCAACAATCTTTTAATCTACATTGTCAACAAGTTGTTAACAACACGTAAAACTATTTCAAAACAAAATTTAAAAAAAATATTAAAACCTTGCTTTAATATTTCTGTGTTTTAATTCACTGGTTGCTGTTGAATACAGCAACCAATGTTTAAGCAGAATAGTTATCTGCAACACTAACCCTTTCTCGTCGCTGCTCCGGCTGACCACGCCCTCGGCCAATCAGTGAACAGAAGCGAAGCTTGCGCCACCCACAAAACAGAGCCTGTGAAGCAAGGAACTGAAAAGGAGGGAACTGAAAAGCAGGGAACTGAAAAGGAGGGAACTGAAAAGCAGGGAACTGAAAAGGAGGAAACAGAAAAGCAGGGAACTGAAAAGCAGGGAACTGAAAAGGAGGGAACTGAAAAGGAGGGAACTGAAAAGCAGGGAACTGAAAAGCAGGGAACTGAAAAGGAGGGAACTGAAAAGCAGGGAACTGAAAAGGAGGGCCAGCCCCGAAAAAAGCCGGCGGGAAAGCGAGTCGAGCCGCTGGTAAAGCGGCTCAACTGTTCCTTCGGTAAACCTCAAAATGTGAAAAAAATAAAATAAGATCATTTTTCAGTATAACCAAGTAGCAAAGCAGTTTTTAATCAATTTTACTTTGATTTCACTTTCTGTAATAACCCAGCAAGATTGAAGATAGAATTTCTGACTTGTCATAATTGGTGGCAGTAATGAAGGTGTGACAGAGACAATTGATTTTGAAGCAATTAAATTATAACCAACAGTTTGGCTCAGTGGAATTTTCACTGACAAGCTTAACATCGTCATGGTCAATAATTTCTTATATTGATGATGTTGAAAATGTTTCTCCACAGCATCCTGTCAAATATATTCAAATTAATCCAAATAATTTACCTAATGAATAAATATAAAATCTCTAATATAAAGATATTGGAGTATACCAGGGACTGTTTAATTGAAATACAACCCTATAACCCTTCACCAAAAATATTAAGGCCAGGACATAATGCATTTGTATGCACCTGTACAATCTATTAGTTTATAATCAGTTGCCACAAGCTTTCTGTTTTGCTTCCAATTACAATTAATTGATTATTATTAAGCTCACTTTATTATTTAAATATGTTTAGAAACTGTCTATCTAAGGAAACCTATAGATTTCATAGAGTCATTAACTTGCAGCATTCACTCCTTCTGGACAAGCACATGGCAACAGTTCAAGTTATGTAAATGACTTTACAGCAACAACTTCATACCAAGTGTGCACACTAGCAGTGACAGTGGAGAGGAAAATCTTCCTTTTATAGAAAACTCCAGCAGAATCAGACCCTGGCTCAGTTCGAGTGTTTATCTGCCATGACAGAGGGATCAGAAAGAGATGAAGCATATCCTTGTCCTGTATTTCTGAGGATAAATACATTATTAGTGAAGCGTTTTTTTTTTTTTCTCAGAAAGCAAGAATTTTAAAGCAATTTCACATTAAAAAGGACTTAGTGAAGCACTACCTTGCTCTGATTAGTTTGGGTTATTTGCACCACTCTCTCAGAACCAAGACAACATATCACACACATTGATATGATGAATTCAGATTAAAACCGCTAACTTACATCCTCTGCATGCTATGACATCTGGACCTAAGATGATGCATATTAAATAAAACTTAGCAACTACACTTTAAAGACCAAATATTTAATTGTCTATGCATTAAATTCAGGTCAGTTTATTTGCATTGCACTGATTCACAACAAATCTTGTTTTGAGATAGCTTACAAAACAAACAACCCAGTTTTTACACAAAAACATCAAAATGAATACAACAATTAAGCTTTAATTACACGAGTTTCAATGAGATTATTTGTTCTTAGGTGTTTATGCGAAGCTAATGCAAGTTTTATTGATGCATTATGAATATTTTTTTAAATCTTAAGTAAGCCACTATAAGTTCTGTCATATATATGTTAAAAACAGGTAAATGGCCCAACAATTACACTGTAAAGAAAATATTCATAGGTTGAATAATGATGGTATTTAAAGAAACATCGTTTTCTAAAGTCTTAATGAATAATGTGTGAACATTTCATTAGAGTGACCCACAAATAGATTATCTATCACCAAAGATGAGTAGAAAATTCTGTGCTCACTATCAGATTCGTCCACTAGAATCTGATTGTGGATACAATACAATTTTACCCAAAGATTTGTAAAAAAGAAACAACCGTAAGACCTGTTAGTAGACATTTATCAATATTTTTACATCATCCTGTGTAAAACGTGCAAATTCTATTCTGAAAATCTGACAGCAGAAAAACTGATAAAAATGCTTCATAACTGAGACGCAATATCCTCAAATAAAGTTTACTGAGTGTCAGGAACATGGTTTAGCCATTGCTCATTTACCACTCAGAGGTGTAGCCTCATCATGATGAAAGAGGTGTCTCAAGATCAGAGGTATTAATGCTTTGGAAGGGCTGGTCTCTGGATTCATTGTAGTGAACAAGCACCACTTGTTGCCAAATTCAGCTCAGGTCTCCCACATTCAACACTTATCTTTAGTCAATCAATTATTTAAATCTTGTATTCTTGGATTGAAAGTCAACTTTGAATAACTCCTGGAAAAAGATGGCAAGCAAACCCATGGTAAGTGTCTTTATTTCTGTCTAGACATTAACCCTCTGAAACTTCACAATAGTTCAGGTTTACTTTGTCAGTGTGTCGATAACTTAAGCTGATGTTACTTAAGTTATTGGGTATTTTACTTTTTTTAAAGACATTCTCATATTTTAAATTACCCAAATTATTTCTGAATCAATTAGACTCGTCACAGCAAAAGCTTTTAGCTGAAAATGCAAATAGTCAAGGGGTAAAAAGATGAATTTATGGTCTCTTGACAGCCTGACTCCCGCAGCCTTCCACTTCAGGCGGCACCTGAACCCTGCTGCAGCGGCTTCCACCATGCCGTCAGCGGGGGCGGCGGGACCAGGCTGGAGGCGGTAATGGAAAATCTACAGCGTCAACAAGCAGCTCGTTTTACCGTAGAGGAGAAGCTCCAGCAGCAGGGAAAAAACGGAACTTTCCGCAGTTTGGTACGGTCTCAGATCCACCAGCAAGCTGTGGCTTTCAGCCACTATGACGGCGCGCTGGGCAGCACTCTGCCAGCTGGAGCTGGTTCCTCCACCGGGATGACGCGTCTGCACCGGGAGGACAAGGAAGGGAATTTAAGACCTTGCACTGGTGAGGAAATGTGGGTCACAGATGAGCAGAAGATCACTGATGAAGAGGAGAGTCACAAAGACATGTCAAACTCTTTCCAACTCCATGAAGCTTGCCTATCAAAGGGCGCCACGGTGCGCTTCATTACCACTGATCAAGTTTCACGCATAGAGTCTCCGTCCGCGCACTCCCATTCCCACCAAGAGTGGACCTACGAGGAGCAATTTAAACAGGTAAGGGAACGCTGAGTCGTCGCTGGAAGATCCTGTTTAAAAATGGAGTTCACGACTAATCTGAAAAGTAAGAGGGCAATAAATGCCTCCATTAAATTTTTATCATCACCTCTGAACCCATAATTTAATGTAGTAGTTCGCCTTTCGTCATTTATAAGTCTTGCTCAATACTTACAAAGATTGAACAACTGGCGAAATCCTTAAAGGAACCAAAATTAGGAGGAATATTTTTCAGCAGTCGGAATACTCTGCGCAAATCCAAGCATCGATTTTCATTTTTTATTTATTTATTTTTTAAAGGATTAATACTCATCCGTCACTAAAAATAACTTGTAACAATAATAGATCACTTTTTTGATCAATCTGGACAAATAGTATACAACAATCTTAAATTATGTTCAGTGTGATAATGAACTAAAACAGCAGTCTCACAAAGACACTTCAAAAATATGTATGCTCAGGGTGTGCACAGATTGAAGCTAGGTGGCGCTAGAGCCTTTGACCTTTTCCCTTTTTGGGAGAAAAAAATGCCCTTTTGATTTTTTTCTACAGTGTATAGTCTGAGGCCCATTTCTAGATTTAAAAACCTACATTTCCAGTAGCCCACATTTTTGTAATTTTGTCCAATAAACTTCCTCACCCTAAACAAACAGAGAGCAAAACGGACAGCTCAACACCACACTACAAGTCTTCTCCACTGTAGGATGTCCAATAGTGACGGACAGCGAACCATCCAGGTCACTAACAATGGCCTTTCCTACTACACACTGGCTTCCAATGTCTATCTGCCAGAAGAATGTTTAAAATATAGCTTTTACATTAAATTAGTAAAATAAATAAATAAACATGCTGTTACATAAGCTTGATAATACCTAATGGCTCCTTTTTGATTCATGTTTTCTGTTAAAAATATAGTTACCCCTGTCTGTTAAACATTCAATGTAAATACAAAAAGAAGGTCATATTTACTGGGCTATATTACAATTCATATGCTATTACAGATACCTTTAAAAAAGTGATCTTCAGTAAAAGTGAGGAGGTAGACATACAGTATTAGAAAATTGAAATTAATATAAGTAAAAATCTATTAATCTTTAGTGTAAAATAGGTGATGTGATGATTAAAAATATGTTCAATTACACACACACACACACACACACACATTTGCCTCAAAATAAACACCTCTTTCCTGGAGAGACAGATCCTCTGAGAAAGTGTTGGGATTTATAACTAAGGATGTGCTGCAGTCACAGATTAGGTGAAAAATAATTACAGAAAAATGTTGTACATGGGGAACATGCACTCAAGACATGTTTTCAGTGCATGTCCAGACTTTTCCAAGAAAAGTCTGGAAAAATGTAAAAGATAGATAAATTCCTGTGATCGATCATTCCTGTGATCATGAGCAGCTGAATACAGATTAATAGTTTAACTACCACCACTGCATGAAGGTTTTTGTCATTGTTATATTTGATGGTTAAATCAAAGATTAAATTGCTAAATTGGGTCCAAAACAATATGGTAACTATGTGCAAATGGGTGCAATATCTTTGTAAAGCAACTTTTCAAAAAACTGGCAGGGAGAGAGAAAGGTGAAAGAAAGTGGAGAGAGCCTGAAAGAAACCTATAAACATAAAATATATCAGTAAACAGAAAGAAACACTGGTCTAAAGAAACGAGTCCAAACTTCAAATGATAATAATAAACTGATTTAACATAAGGAATTAGCTAAAATGGCAAGATCTAAGCAATAAAGAAAATATCAAAACAGTTCTCCAAAAAAATTATATCACACAATATTTTCTAAATACGTCAATTATGATCTCACAGACGATATTCCACATTTTCTGTTTTTTTTGTGGGTTACTGGGTGGTGTAATTTAAATTATATATGTTTTTTTTACTTTCCATTATAAAGTAATTTTGCAGTCATACTGTATAAAGAAATATACAGACATACAATATCACACAATATGTTTAATGCATCAAAGAAAATCTACAATTGATAAATAAAAATGTAAAATAATGTGACTAACAAAAAACAACCTGAAATCAGCTACCAAATGGAAACAATACTTAACCAAAGTTAAACAAACTCTTGAGGTTAAACAGAACATTAGTTTTACAAGACGTTAAAAAGTATTTCCCTCTCGTTTTTTTTTTTTTTTTTTTTTTTTTTTTGAAACGCAAGCATTATGTGCACAACTAAGAATCTTGTTTAATATATTTTTTAAATGCTCTACAGCAAAATATGCAGTAGGGACAAAAAGTATGCAGACCTCTAAGTTTTTCACTCTGTTTCATTGCATCTGCAGACATGACGAGCTGCATCTGATTAGCTTCTTCTATAGGTTTGTGTGTAGCAGCTCCCCAGCTCTTGAGTTACTCAGCCAGTTTCAAAAGGTGAATTTAGCGATTTATTTTCTTTGATGAAGATCCACCCTGATCATCACAGTCACCACAGTTACCTCAGTGACCATGAAAACTAAAACATAGTCAAATATTAGAATACAAAACATAAACTGACAATACAAACAATAAAACAAAACGCACCTCGCTGCTTTCACTAAGTGATGATCTCTTTGTACCAAACATCTTGACAGTTCAAGTCATTCATTGATACAATGATTCTACCCACTTTTACAGGGCCTATCCTAATTAGCTCCAGCAGCCTGTGAGGTACATACAAAACCTCCCCAAAACATTACAAAGTGAAAATATTAAACAAAACAAAATATAAACCACCAACAATGCTAATCAAAACAAATATCCATAAACAATCTGTGACATTCTTAATTTAGAAAATTAACTTTGAATATTACTTCAAATAGACTACAAATTGAAAGAATTTAGACAATTTATTTGAAATAGCTCACCATCCATTATCTTTGCAACTCCAGCCAACCGAGTGCTGACAAAACGGTCAGGAAATATGTATCCTCTTTCATATATCTCGGTGGCCCTGAGCTTTGAGCTAAACTTCCCCTTTTTTGGGGAAAAGTTGGTGTTTAAGAAAGTTTTTTCACTGTTGCTGGTCAGACTGTAAACCATCTGACTAGTTTCTTCTTTGTTTTTATAGTGGTTCAGTCATGTTTGCTTTCACCTTTACAACTTTAATATTGCTGCATGTGCGATAGTGGGGTGACATATTTACGCCATGAAATTAGTAAATCATAATAAAATGTATTTTCTGGTGTTGTTGTCAACAATTTGATATGGGCCAGCCTTAAAACCAATGGACCAACACGAACAGAACACAGTTAACGTTATACTTCCAATCCATGAGTTACATTCTTGGTTCATGTTCTTTTGACCTTCCAATCAGCTGAAACGTGTTCAAATGATGAAAATTATGAAATCCTTGACTATCTAGAGAAAGTAACATGGGGTAGGGACTTGGCACTGGTGATGTCATGATGATGTCATGTTGCAATGGGTCACACTGCATGTGTTTTACAGATTCCCTTGACAATAAATTTTTGTTTATAATCAACAAAAATGTATTGTTTCAGCCATGAGGTTATTGTATGTTTTTAAATGAACATCGGTTTAGAGTTCAGGGTCCTCAGGTATGAAGCAACGAATGCACAAGATATTTTTCTTTGATGAAAAACATTTATTTCCAGTGATTTCTCTGTTTTTCAGTTGTATGACCTTGATGAAGATGAAAAGCGTAAAGACTTTCTTGATGACCTTTTCAATTTCATGCAAAAACGAGGTAAGGTATTTCACATAAAATGTGGCTATTTTCACACACACACACACACGCACGCACGCACGCACACACACACACACACACATATACATATATTTATATTTACAAATATATAGAACTATATATCTATAGATAGATAGATAGATAGATAGATAGATAGACAGACAGACAGACAGACAGACAGACAGACAGACAGACAGACAGACAGACAGACAGACAGACAGACAGACAGACAGACAGACAGACATATGTCCGTACTGACCCAAAGAAACTATTCCAAATTCATAAAATTGCTTCCAAAGAGCATCCTGCATGTCTTAGTTCTCTCCCTGGTTTAACGAACCTGGATCCAATGATGGCTCATTAGAGGCCTAAGAAGAACGTTGACATTCTGAAAAGATTGTTACCACCAGGCAGAGAATGAAACACGCAGGATGCCGGCCCTCGAGGACCCACTGTGGGCACCACTGAGTTAGAAGTTTTCAATATTTTTCCCCTGGTGGATCATCATCAGTGGTGATGAAGTAGTTAGTAGATAGTGACGTACAACTCAATTCAATGACATCAATGACTGATTTATTAAACTATGTAAAATAATAGTCAATTGTTACAGTTTTTACTGTCACTAACAATTTTGTCAATAGTGACAATAAAAACTGTTTATAAACTGAAACCATGAAAATAGACCATGTTCAAAAAATGTAAATAGTATTGAAATATACTAATAGTATTGAATATATATATATATATATATTAAAAAAAAAAATTCCCTTCTCACCCACCGTGGGTGGTTCTTATCCTCTGAGCTCGGGTCCTCTACCAGAGGCCTGGGAGCTTGAGGGTCCTGCAGTATCTTGGCTGTGCCAAGGACTGCTGCACATTTCTGGACTGAGATGTCTGATGTTGTTCCTGGGATCTATTGTAGCCACTGCTCCAGTTTGGGGGTTACTGCCCCGAGGGCCCCGATGACCACAGGCACCACTGTGGTCTTCACCTTCCAGGCCCTCTCCAGTTCTTCCCTGAGGCCCTGGTATTTCTCCAGTTTCTCGTGCTCATTTTTCCTGATGTTGCAATCACTTGGTATTGCTACATCTACCACAACGGCTTTCCTCTGTTGTTTATCCACTACGACAATGTCTGGTTGGTTCGCCATTACCATTTTGTCTGTCTGGATCTGGAAGTCCCACAAGATCTTAGCTCTGGTGTTCTTCACCACCTTTGGGGGTGTTTCCCACTTTGATCTCGAGGTTTCCAGTCCATATTCTGCACAGATGTTTCTGTACACTGGACAGTGGTTCTCACACTCACTAGTCCTCTGCCTCCTTCCTTGCGGCTCGTGTACAGTCTGAGGTTGCTGGATTTAGAATAGAACCCTCCATGCATGGTTAGTAGCTTTCTGGTCTTAATATCTGTGGCTTTTATCTCCTCCTTTGGCCAGCTAATTATTCCAGCAGGGTATCTGATTACTGGCAAGGCATAGCTGTTTATTGCACGGATTTCTTGCCATTGAGCTGGCTTCTCAGGACTTGCCTTATTCATTGGAGGTATTTAGCTGTGGCTCCCTTTCTTGTGACCTCATCGAGGTTACCATTTGCTTGTGGGTATAAGGTACTTGTAACTGTCCTCTATGTGCTATTGTTCCTTGTGGGAGTGAGACCCCTTCTGTGCGGATCACCTTCCCCTCTTTGTGACCAGCCGACCACATTTCTCTAGTCCGAATGACATCCCAATGTCCGTGCTGTAGATCCTGGTGGTGTGGATCAGTGAGTCGATGTCTCGCTCACACTCGGCGTACAGCTTGATGTCATCCATGTAGAGTAGGTGACTGATATTGGCCCCATTTTTGAGTCTGTATCCGTAGCCAGTCTTGTTGATGATTTGCCTGAGGGGGTTCAGGCCTATGCAGAACAGTAGCGGGGACAGAGCATCTCCTTGGTATATGCCACATTTGATGGACACTTGTGCAAGTGGTTTGCAGTTGGCTTCAAGGGTGGTTTTCCACAGCCTCATCGAGTTTGCAATGAAGGCTCTCAGAGTCCTGTTGATGTTATACATCTCTAAGCATTCAATGATCCAAGTATGCGGCATTGAGTCATAGGCTTTCTTGTAATCAATCCAAGCCATGCACAGGTTGGTGTGTCGGGTTTTGCAGTCTCGGGCAACTGTGCAGTCTACGAGGAGTTGGTGTTTGGCTCCTCTGCTATTTACACCGATACCCTTCTGTGCCGTGCTCATGTGTTTATCCATGTGTTTGCTTATCTTGGCCGCTATGATGCCTGACATGAGTTCCAGGTTGTGGACAGGCAGGTTATTTGGTCGGTAGTTGGGTGGGACTGGACCCTTTGATGGATCCTTCTGGATTAGGATTGTCCGCCCTTCAGTTAACCATTCAGGGTGAGTCCCACTTTGTAGCAGCTGGTTCATTTGGGCTGCCAGTCGCTCATGGAGGGCAGTGAGTTTCTTTAGCCAGTAGGCATGGATCATGTCAGGCCCTGGTGCTGTCCAGTTTTTCATACCTGAGACTCTTTCTTGGACATCTGTCACAGTGATGGTTACCGGGGCTTGCTCAGGGAGGTTGCTGTGGTCCTCTCGTAGAGAGATCAGCCACTGCATTGCTGTTGTGGGACGCCTCCCTTTCCCATATGCCTTTCCAGTATTGTTCAGTCTCCAGCCTTGGTGGGTCTGCTCTGTTGTTATTACCCTGCCATTGAGAGTACACCTTAGCTGGTTGAGTGGAGAAGAGCCAGTTAATCCTTCTGGATTCATTCTCCCTTGTGTATCTCTTTAGGCGGCTGGCCAAGGCTTGGAGCCTCTGTTTGGCAGTCTCGAGTGCTTCAGGTATGGGCATCTGGCTGTACTTTCTGGGTACTGGTCTTTTCATTGTACCCTTGTGGAGCTCTGACAGTTGGCTCACTTCCCTCCTTGTTACCTTGATTTTAGCCTCTAACCGTCTTTTCCATGGTGGGTATTGGGTCTCATGCTTGCTCTTATAGCCAAGATCTATTTTCATGGTTTCAGTTTAAAAACAGTTTTTATTGTCACTATTGACAAAATTGTTAGTGATATATATATCTAATTCCCTTCTCACCCACCGCGGGTGGTTCTTATCCTCTGAGCTCGGGTCCTCTACCAGAGGCCTGGGAGTTTGAGGGTCCTGCACAGTATCTTGGCTGTGCCAAAGACTGCACATTTCTGGACTGAGATGTCTGATGTTGTTCCTGGGATCTGTTGTACACTGTAACAAATTGCTGTAAAAAAACGGCCAAAACTGAACAGTATCATACTGTTTCTATTGAAAACGGTACTGCACTGTCTGGGCAATTATTACTGTTTTTAATAAAATACTGTAGTATACTGTGAGTAGCATGATGAAGATTGAATCTAACATCATTCCCGAAATGCTAGCATTTCGGGAATGATGTCAGATTCAACGGTAAGGAGGCTCTTTAAACAGAACGCTACTGTATTTCTGAAGAAGACATGTTGTTGTGACATGTGGAAGCAACCTCTAGAACTTTCTTTACAAGGACTATCCATTTGAATCCTGCATTTAGGAGCCAATCCTAAGGTAAGTTATTTTTGATGATTCATATTTACAAATATTGACATGTTTGGAAGCTCTTTTTCTTTCTTTGTGTAATTTGACTTGAATTGCTATGATTAGCTGCTAAAGTGAAATTGGTGAATGGATATCAACTGGGAATTTGGAGTTTCACAGAGTTGACTTGGCAGAAAACTGTTTAAATGTTATGCTGGTGTCTCTTTATTAACTCTTAACATTCAAAAGTTTGTCTTCACCTAGCACACATTAAACCCTGACTCCTTAAGCATCATATGCTAATCTGAAATTACTGCATTTTCAGGCTTTCTTGATCTCAACCCGGACCAAGGCCAGCTATAGCAAGATCATCTCCAAGAGGACAGGAAAAACTTTTCAAAAGAAGTCGGTAAATGTCATCCCCCGTGTTTCAACTCTGCTAAAACACCTCATGGACTTTTAGTGGAATTTCATAGTGAGAACTTTCTAACCAAGCTATAGATATTGTTGCCCCTCCACGCAAAAACAAACAAACAAAAAACTATACAGGCATGAAGGCAACTTATCCCTGAACAGGAGTGTTCTTGAGAGATGTTTTTGGTTTAAAGGTCAGCATAATCTTAAGACATCTCTTTTAATTAAGAGCATACATTTGTTAAGGCTCCCACTTTCTGTTCTTCAGATGTAATTTTGACTGTACAGGCACCATGTTTAACTTATCTTGGCAGTGTTGTCTAATATTGTTTCATTGTTTTATCATTTGAAGTTGGAGCTCTGATTTTGCCCTAAAGGAAATTCAAGTCTAAATGTTTCATTTAAATTTTTATCAAACTAAAATTAGCAATTTTTTTCTATACTTTAGATTGAAAGTTAAATGTTTCATTTGTTGTATGTTGCATCATATTGTTCCTCACTTCCACAAAAAGTAGTATTTTGTATTGAAAAAGTATTGTGCTGAATTGTACAATGCATTATTTCCATAATTTATTTCATACTTATTTTATTTCAGACTAATCAAAAGGCCACAATTCATGCTTTATTCAAATACTCTTTACATCAGTTAAGAAATTTATTTCACAAAATAGATGGTGATTTTCTTACTGTTTTTCCAGAATATGACTTACTTTGGACAGTTTACCCTCAACATTCTTGTAGAAAAGGTTTAGGTTTAAGGCACACATACGTTGTCGTTTCAAAACCTTCGTCTTTATTATGTGGCCCACTAAAGACTGTGTATGAGTCAATGTTTGAGTTGGTTCTTTTGTTTCCCAAATAAATGTTTGACATGATGGAACTTACATTTTCTAAGTGTTTTTTTCATGTTTCTATTTTATATTGGAAATTTACAGTAGTAAGCTGTATGTGAATTCAGCAGTAATGGTACCATAGAAAAAAACTGTAATATACTGGCAACACAGCTGCCAGTAGTCTACTGTGAATCTGATAAAAAAAACACCAAGTGATG